AGTGTTCGTAATCAGGGTCGAGGCAGGCGGCAGACAAACAATAGCATAAATCCACAAGGCTGGCAGGGTCAGAATAGGTAGGCAGCAAGCAATCGTAAACGGATAAACAGTCCAGGTAATCAACAGATATTCAACACAGGGAAAACGCTCAGAAATGTCTGCAAGGCAAAACAAGACTTCGCAATGAGAGCAGGGAAGGCACAGTTTAAATAGACCGGGCAATAGGAAACACCTGTGCAGGTGATTAGTCTCTGGCATGGGGCATTGTGGGAATTGGAGTCCGAAAGGATCGCTCAGTACTCCGGTGATGGTTCCCTCTGGTGGTGATCGGAGGGAGCCACAGAGGCTGAATTTGTGACACAAATCAAGACTTTTTTAACCATTGCTTTGACTAAAATACAAGTCTATAATCGAACTGACTTTATCTGGAAAAATTACTCTTTGTTATTGTCTTCTTGCAATATTAACAAACTATTTGACACTGTAAAGCTGCTTTGACACAATCAGTATTGTATAAAGCGCTATACAAATAAAGGTGACTTGACTTAATCCATAATAACGCTTCCTCCAGTGAAGAAGTGTTCTGGTCTGAATCAGAAGAGAAATCTGCACAGATCAAGCACCCAGAGTTATTATGGATTATGGACGCTTACTTCAGCCGGAAGCAACGGTTTGAAGTCAAGACAGTTTTTTTTTAATTGCTTAGACACTAAAAGCGGTACTTGAGGCGCACTCAGTAAAACCATTCACTCATATACATAACCTTTAGACCAAGTCTGCAAAACTACAAGCACATTACATGCTTTAAACTCAGTTTGCTATAGTAAAACAAACTTTTTGCAAAACTCTAAACACAGTTCTCTACTTTACACACATAATTCAAAACTAACAGCTCTTTTGTTTCATTTGGGAAACACTGCCATTTAAATGCCACACTCATTTACTGATGATCTACACACAGTGATCATGAGTGAAAACACTTACACATCATTTATTCACTTAGAAATCAAAACTTATGTTTACCCCCTTGCATTTCTATTTACAGTGTGTATATAAATATATATATATATATATATATATATATATATACAGTATATGAGATTATACACACACACACACACTGAATATGCATACAAGCCAAGTATAAAGCGCTTTATTCAATATAGATTTTTTCACAGCAGCTTCAAATTCAAATTCTGCTGTGAAGCATCTCTAACATGTCAGTCAATAGTGTCATTATAGAGCTCAAGTGAGTTCAGTATTGATTCAGTTCAGTTGGAAACTGTGTAAAATCCATCAGTTGTACATTTGTATATGTGCACATGCATGTATGTGCGAGTGCTGTGACAAACTCCTGTGCTCCACTGCACTCTGAACAAGCAGAAGACACACGAGAGCAGTGTTTTACATTCTTTACATCTGTGTGTAGTTTGGCATGTGTGTGGCTAATTATTTTATGTTTGTGTGTAGAGTTACTACACAACAATACCATTTTTAGAAGAGTTCAAATAGTTTTGAATGAAGTGTTTGCTTTTGCAAGATATGTGTGACGTTTTGCATGTTGTGTGTGTGGTTTTGTGTGTAGAGTTTTGAGAAATGGAGTCATAGTTTCAAAAACTGTGTGTAAGCATTTTTTAAAAACTGTAATTGATGGACTGGAGTCGTGTGGATTATTGTGAAGTTTTTATCAACTGTCATCATGATAAGACTTGGAATAAATAAAATAAAAAAAACATTTCTATGTCAGTACCAATTGTGACAGCTATGCTGTATTAAATGCACAATGATGAAGAAGAATACGATTTATGAAGTCTTTAATCTAACACACGGGGTAGCATAAACGCAGACGAGACCGGACAAACTAGAACTGAACACACAGGAACTTAAACGCACAGACCAAAACGAGGATAAAACTAATTCTAAACTGAATGACAGGTGTCACCAATGGTATCTGGTTACTTCAGTTGAAAGTCACCAAATGTTTTTTTATTTTATGTTTTTTAATGTGAAATTGTTATATTTGGAGACCATTGCAAGACATGTCTTTGTTTATGCTGGACCAGGCAGACAATATATCTGCAGTAGCTTGTAGCTCCTCTAGCTGTAGCCGTGATGCTGAGCAAGATATGTGTGACGTTTTGCATGTTGTGTGTGTGGTTTTGTGTGTAGAGTTTTGAGAAATGGAGTCATAGTTTCAAAAACTGTGTGTAAGCATTTTTTAAAAACTGTAATTGATGGACTGGAGTCGTGTGGATTATTGTGAAGTTTTTATCAACTGTCATCATGATAAGACTTGGATTAATGTTTGACTGACTTACAAATGACTAATGTGATTAATTTACAGGAGTTCATTAAACTGAAGGGTTACCCACTCACTACTAAAGTGGAGGCTATCAGTGATGGAGGGGAATCGGCTCTCTTCAAACAACTCTTCAAGAGCTGGACTGTCAAAGAGCAGACGGCAGGTCTGGGCCGGACACACACTGTAGGGAGAGTGGGTATGTGTCTGACTCTTTAGCTGATGTCATGTGTATACTTGCATATACTTACTTTGAGATCTATGCCTTTATTTTACTGTTCAGAGTGATGCCACTTGTTCCACTTCAAAAACAGTTTTCTATAAAACAGATTATAGAAAATTGAGGCAAGACATGTCTTTGTTTATGCTGGACCAGGCAGACAATATATCTGCAGTAGCTTGTAGCTCCTCTAGCTGTAGCCGTGATGCTGATTTTAGTTGGCTGTGATGATGAGCAGAATAAGCATGAATGGATGCTGGTCCATAAGCTTTGCTCTGTCCTTTCATGAATTAGCTGATGTCCCTCAAGAGAAGTTTGATGCCAGTAGGATGCATGTGATGCCCGATGTTGCGGCACAGGAGCGTTTGGTGGATGATGGCAGTGGACAAAAGCAGGTAAGGAGGACGTGAGTTATTACAGGGAGTCTAAAGAAATAACACTACAGACACAGATGTGACAAACAGCAAATGGGAGGAACCTAATATAGACAGAGATAATTGGCAGAAAATCTCTAAAGACCTCTCCATCCTCAGGTGTGGCGCATTGAGAATTTGGAGATGGTGGAGGTGGATCCTGAAATGCATGGGTACTTCTATGGAGGCGATTGCTATCTGGTTCTGTACAGCTATGACGTTAATGGCAGGAACAACTACATCCTTTACATGTGGAAGGTAATGTGACAGATTTCCTTTGTAGAAGAGAGGCAGAACTTTTGACCATAATGATTGTTGATCAGTTTAACACCAAAGTAAGTTAATGAAAGAGTAACGTCACATCCTGTAATGATAACACAATTTCATTTTAAACCCAGATATCAGAAATAGTGCAAAACATTTGCAACAATGATTATGCACCACAAACATATCTGGTAACAAAATGTAGTTTTAGTGCTTCGTGACCCTTTAAACAAACATCTACAGAGTAGTTTGACTTCTGTGTCTCTGCAAGCAAAGTATAGAGCATTAGTAATTCCATTACTTATTACAATAAAACTGTTATTTGTTTTGGTTTTATCACCTGTACAACTGTTGAATCTGTCTACACAGCACTGGTGAACTCAGTGAGCTTTAATACTTACCATAGCTGATCTTCTCAGTGAAGAGGAGCTTTGAATGACAAGTTGCACGTAATAATGAAAGTGATTATGTCTGTTTTGCTCAAAGGGACGTCATGCGTCTCAGGACGAGGTGACGGCCTGTGCCTATCAGGCTGTGACTCTGGACCAGCAGCATGGAGGTCAGCCTGTTCAAGTGATAGTCTCCATGGGAAAGGAACCACGGCACTTCATGGCCATCTTCAGGGGCAAGACGGTTATCTTCGAGGTAGTGCATTACTTAATTTAAATAGAGATTTTTTGAAAGACATTAGGTCAGTAATCTGTAATTCAACATTAGACATTAGGTCGTAATTCAAACATTAATTGGACTAAATGTTAGATGGCAGGAGGTACAACTACTATCTTGTTCTCTTTTCAGTCTTCACTGATTGATTTTTTATAGACAAATTTGCTGCGGAAAGTGGTATACTTAATTCTGTTACAGTGACACAATCCAATAAACTTCATTTCAAATTAATACAGTAGAGGATTTTTTTTTGTCTTTGCTTTCATGCTATCCTACTTTAGTTTTAATTTTAAATATCCAAAAGGCCAATAACATTTTAAATAAATGCAGAGACATTTTCCCTAAACCTGTTTTTTTTTTTTTGTTTTGTTTTGTTTAAACCTCAGAAAAGAGAGAAAACCATATTTTATGATTCACTTTATGTGAAAGAGGTTGCTTTTGGAATATGCTTTATAATACGTAAACAGCACAGCAAAATAGCTAATTTAGCAGATTCATCCATAATCAGTCACCTGCAGCGGCTCTTTTCATTACTATGTAAGTGATAGTAATCCTGGCTTGTAAAGCTTCAAAATGATTAACACTATTATTCATTATTAAAATACACCATTCAAATCACCAAGAACTTACAGCACCCTAAAAGCTCACAAATCAACTGTAAAAATAAATAAATAAACAAACAAATAGCTCTTTAAAACCAGCAACTTAAAACATAGTATTAAAATAAAGGTAACACTTTAGTTTGGGACCACTTCTCACTTTTAACTAGCATGCATATTACTATCATACTGGCGGTTTATTAGTGCTTATAAAGCACATATTAATGCTTAATTACTCTGCATGACCATATTCTTGATCCTTTAATCCAACCCCATACCTGAACTTAACAACTATACCTAACTATTAATAAGCATCAATTTAGGAGTGTCTTGAGGCAAAAGTTGTAGTTAATAGTTAATTATACTGAGAATTAGTACTAAAGTGTGACCAAAATAAATAACAGTGGACACCAAATGACTCAAAATGATAAAGAAGGTCATAATCGCATAATTTGTTTTCTTTTACATTTCTACATTTTTTTTAATGCAACAACCTCTTTTTTTTTTTTTTTTAAAAAGCAAAGTATTATGAAGTTATCATTAAGTTTAAACTTTTTTTTTTTCACCTATACATTATGTGCTGCTTTTACATTATAAACTGTGAGACCATTATAAATTGCTACAGTGTGTTCATAATGTGATGCATTTCTCATAACCCATTACATTATGTGCAAACTTTGACAGGGAGGCACGTCCAGAAAGAGCGCCCAGGAGCCAGAGCCGCCCGTCCGCCTGTTTCAGATCTGTGGCTCTCACCCAACCAATTCAAAAGCTATAGAGGTGCCAGCTCTGGTGGCTTCGCTCAACTCAAATGATGTCTTCCTCTTGAAAAGCCAGAACGGCATCTACCTGTGGTATGGCAAAGTACGCAGTCTTTCTACTATCATCACACTGATAGTATTTTATTGGAAAAGCACTCAGCAGTTGTCAAATACAGCATGCAAAGTGCATCACTACTCTCCTCATAATGGACATTATTGGGAAAGCAGTACTAAGCTCTGTATATAACCTCTCAGGGGTCCAGTGGTGATGAAAGGGCCATGGCAAAGGAGGTGGCCTCCTTTATTGGTCGAGGCTCATCAGAGGAGATCATGGCTGAGGGACAGGAGCCAAATGAGTTCTGGGAAATCTTAGGTGGAAAAGGACCATATGCAAGTGACAGAAGGTACTCCGAACTAAAGAATAAAAGATTTGCAAGCATTCTCAGAAAAAGGTAGAAAAGCTGTATCTATGTCAGTACCCTTACAATATAATCTAAAATGTACCATATAATATTACATGTTAGTGACTAATATGTATCTTTAAGAAAATAATATGCACCTTTCAAGGGTAAAAATTATGGTAAAAAAGGTGTGCATTTTGAAAAGGCACTGACCCACTGATAGCTTTTGTACCTTTTCTTTCTGAGAATGTGGGGAATAAAAGTTCTTCATTGTTGGCTGTTGATGTCACGTCTTCTTAAAGATTACAACAGGTTACTCTAGATCATCAACCACGTCTTTTTGAGTGCTCCAATAAGACCGGCAAGTTTATTGCCACTGAGGTAACCCAGTTCACACAGGATGATCTGAGAGAGGACGACGTCATGCTTTTGGACACGTGGGATCAGGTAGACCAGCACAGCTTGAACTAAAACGATACTCTGTTCCTCTGTAATGAAATATAAAGTTTGATGGCGAAAGGCGATACCTTTCCGAGTTATAATCTCAATTATAACAATATAGCAGCTGTCATAATGTAAGAGTTGACCCTAGATATCATTAGACACTAGAGTCCTAAACACAGCCTTCGGCTCTTCTAGGTGTTTCTCTGGATAGGAAATGAAGCCAATGATGTGGAGCGTAAGGAATCTGTGACAACTTGCCAGGAATACCTGCGGACTCATCCTGGATCCCGGGACCCTGACACACCTATAATAATGGTGAAGCAGGGCTTTGAGCCTCCTACCTTCACTGGGTGGTTCACGGCCTGGGACCCGACAAAATGGAGTGTAGGTTTGATTTGCCTTGTATTAACACGGTGAAAAAGATTTACGAGCCTACTAATTAAGGAGTCATTCTCTGCAGCTGAACAAGATGCTTTGCTGTTACTCACACATGGCTTTTATCCTTGCACTAGGGTGGCAAAACCTACGAACAGCTGAAGGAGGAGTTAGGAGAGATTACATTGCCCACTAAAGTTGAATCTGTATGGTCCTATCTACCCTTATAGACCACACATTTCAGTCAACATTTGCCTGATTTGCATAAAAGGTTTGTGTTAAATTGTAATTTCTCATGACAGGAATCCACTGATGTGGAGAGTAAAACCATCTCACAATATCCACCAGAAATGCTGATTAACAACCTGTCTGGAGAGCTGCCTGAGAACGTGGACCCCGCACACAAAGAGGTGCGTAAAGCTTTAAGCCCCTCATTCATGTTTTGGTTTACAAGCAACACAAGGCGGTCCTGTTGTAAGTAAGGAAAAAGCTGCTTTCGCTCTAAATCCTGCTGTCAGATTGTACTGTTGTCCACCAAGAAAATCTTGTCGTCATTCGGATTTATAGAGTTCCCACAACATTTGCCACATGCAGTCTATACAGACCTTCCTGACATCTTCCTGTCAAATTACGAGCCAGTGGCATTTTCAGGTGTGGCCCATGTTGATTAATTGACCTAAATGATCCTGCTATATTGTAAGGTTCAATGTAAACGAAACTTGTGCACATGGAAATCAGGACATTCAGTTTGATCGTTGTTCCTTTTTTCTCTTCAAAACTTTTCCCAGTCAGTTTGTCAGATTTGCACAAAGTCTGACATGAATGATTTAAGGACACGCCTTGTTACATAACCAGTTTATGAGTGTGTCATGTTTGCTCTGGTTGGTTCTTGTTGTGTTTTTGCTCCACCTGTGTGTTGATTGCTCATTATCTGTAAGTTGCTTGTGTCGTCTTCTCCTACATCTGCTGAATCTGTCATCTGTTTCTGGTCCAGAGCCTCTCTCTAATGACTGGGGTTACAATGACAAAGTAGGCTTGCTGTAGTTCATATAGTAGAGCATGGCACTGGCAGTGCCAAGATCATGGGTTCCATTCCTAGCAATTGTATGAAATGCATAAATGTATAGCTTCGATAAAAGCATCCATGAATGCAAATGTAGATAATGCACTGTGCATCAACTTAACTTTACAGTGAAAATGCATTCCAAAAAAGAACGAGCACACTACTTGTGCATGTGCATGTAAGTATTTCCATTTCACAAAACAGATTGTCCTAACACCAAGCAAATTGCTGGTTATACTTCATAGAGTGCACATGCCTGCCAACCAAATGGATTGCAACAGAGAAAGGGAGTTATGAGAAATTTGACTGAAATATTTGAATACATTTGAATAAAAGTGTGCTGCTGCATATAACATTCTACTTCTTATCACCTCATTCAAGTTAACACAGTTCGCCTTCTTGATTAAAATCATTTTCATACATTTACATCATACATTTTCCTTTTTCTGCTATTCTAGAGATATCTCTCTGAGCAAGATTTCCAGGCCATATTTGGATTCTCCAGAGAAGAGTTTCACAGTTTGCCTCAATGGAAACAGAAGACCATTAAGAAGGAAAAGGGATTGTTTTGAAAACGATGTATGTTTCATAATGCTGGTGGTGGGAGGAGGGATTAGAGACACATCTAGATTTCCTATTTCAAATTTAAAGAGAAATGTTCATTTAAATCTTTTGTCATGACTGATTGTGTAATAGTTCATATGTTCTAGACGCAATAAGCATATTGCATTTTAATTGTGGGACTTATGCTATTTCTAGTGAAAGCTAAATAAAAAATACGTATATTTAGAAACGATTGTTTTGAATCTTCCTACTCCTGTTTTTCCTACGAGTGACATTACTATCTATCCAACAGCTTTTGGCTAATGTGTGTGCTAAGTGCTTTAGAATGCATAACAGAGGCAAAATATTTTTCATCTTTTCTTTTATTTTTTTTCTCTCATGTACAGTTTGGTTAGATATGGTACTTTGAGTGGTCAAGAAGACCACTCACTTTTAAGTAAATGATGAAAAAAACTGAAATTAAAACTCTCAAAGAGACATGCACAGGAAACAAACCTGTGGATGAGAAGTAAAATGAGTTAGAAGACAAACTGAATGTCAGCGTAGGTGAAATCTTTGTATTTTTGGAATTCCAGAAAGGGCCAATGAGAACATTAATCTGTGACATAAAAATGAGAAGCCACATTCCAGGAGAAATGGTCAGACTGACAATGTTGACATCATTCATCGTCCAGGAGAGTGGTTCCCAACCACGTTCTTTAAGAAGATTAATGTTTTTAAAATACACTTTTGAATACAGGAAGGAAAAATAAATAAATAGATTTTCAGCAGTTTGGTGGACTATAATTTTTACTGAAATGCAACTTTGAGCTGGTAAAACTACCAATGAAACTGTCAAACTTTCATAGATAAGTGCTTACAAACTCTACTTATCACCTTACAAATAACCATTAAAAAACAAAAGAGAGATTAAACAAGAGAAAAAAAGGGTTTGAAAATGACACAATATGGGTTATACAGTTATTAAGGAAGATGGTTCTTTTTAGAGTTTTAGAACTGTTTTGGTAATTTGGTTACAAGGGGTTTGAAAAACTTATCCACCCAGAACCCTCAATCCACAAGAAATTGGACTTTGTAATATCTACACCTTCTAAAAGGATAAATACAAAGTATAACAATGAAGATCTATATGTAGAGCCAATACTCCCCTTGTGTCATATATTGGAATGTTATATTCAAAACACACGTGTAATAAACTAATACAATTAAAGAGGTAGCTTTCAGAATTATATATAAATTATATAGAAATCATGCTAGAATCTCTCCCTTAAAGAAAACATTTTTTTACTCTATTTTCAACAAAATTACAAAGATGGCCATTTTATTTTTATTTTAAATGTAAATTATTTTTAAGAGATTCTTTCTTCACAAGTTATTTCTGAGAGAATTACAATGTTATTATGAGATGGCGAAGCTATGTAAAAATAATAAAGCAAAACATTTTGTTCTGATCGTTAATAAGCTAACACAAGGGAATAAATTTCATCTAACAGTGGGGGGGGGCCTTCCCCCTCCACCTTCCCCAGCTCCACCTGTATAGATCTGCTACGAGGTGATTCATGTATGCTATATGGGGGTTATTCATATGTGTTATATGTGCAGCAGCAGTATTTCTTACATGCTCACAGCAGCATGTTGTGGATGTATTGGCAGTAGCAAGTCCTGGTAATTGCTCTGCCGCAGCAGCAGAAGCAGATCTATTCCGCCAAGACCAAATAAATTAACATTGCCATGTACATTACCATGCCAATCCCTCAGAGAGTTGTCATGACAGAACTCTGTTCATCAGGTTGTGTTTGTGTCAGATGTGAAAAAGGAAACTAATACACGCAAGTCCATGATCATTAGGGGAAATGCTTTTTTTCTTCTTTTTTCATTGCTAATTAATTATATTATCAGCAGAAAATTTCAGTTGAACCGAAAAATAAACATGAATTTGGGAATGTTTTAGAATCTGGTATGTCCTTCTTTTGATTTACTAGCAGCACTAACATGAACATGTAAAACCAGACAGTCAAACCTCTTTCGTTCAATCTGTCTTTCTCGGTTACTAATCTTTTATTAGTAACCTAGAACACACCTGACTGGAAGTTTCTATGCCTAGTAAGAGCTTGATTAGCTGGTTCAGGTGTGTTTAATTAGGGTTGGAGCTAAACTCTGCAGGACACCGGCCCTCCAGGACCGAGTTTGGACAGCCCTGATCTAGCTTGTGTGGGTTGTGCGTCGGCACGGCTCCAGCGCGGATGAATCTAATGGCAGTCAGTCACCGCACCGGTGTGAATCCTATACTTAGTAATCACAGATTCTAGCCTACGTCTTGGAATATATGACCCAAATAATAATTTTCACCGTATATTGTCATCTGAACAAGTAAGTAACAAGTCTGCCACGTTTGTTCTGACCAACTGAGGAAAAAAGCAGTACAATAAATCACGCTACCAACTGCGATTTAATCTAAAGATTGGTTAGCTTATATCACATCAAACCGTGCAAATTATTATTATTGTTATACTTTATTCTCAAATGATTAATGTTAAAGGGGTCCTATTATGCTTTTTCACTATGAGTTAGGTTCATAGGTATAGTATTTTAGGTTTCGTCTGGGATTGAGGATGTCTTCTATTTATTCATCCGCAGCAAGCCCACATCTGCCACTTAATAACTTCGGTAAAGTTGGTTTTATATTCACACATTCGGACTTCCGCATTCAAGAACTTTCTAATTATATGAGCAATAAAGTTAAAGCTGCAGTCCATAAGTTTTGCCTCTTTGTCGCCATCTCTGTTTGAACCAGCAATTGCAGCTGTGTGCGGCGTTATCTAGCTCAGGGCTGTCCAAACTCGGTCCTGGAGGGCCGGTGTCCTGCAGAGTTTAGCTCCAACTTGCTTCAACACACCTGACTGGAAGTTTCTATGCCTAGTAAGAGCTTGATTAGCTGGTTCAGGTGTGTTTAATTAGGGTTGGAGCTAAACTCTGCAG